CGGTTGGCGCAGGATAGAGCAGGGTTTAGGGCTGTTGTGCATAGGGTCGCTATGAGTCGCAAACGACTCGACGGCACATAACAACAACAACAATTGCAGAGTTCAGTTACTCTGGCTGATCATAGATTAAACCTGACACACGGGCTGATTTTAGATTAAGCTTAAAGTCCTAAGGGGATGCTGCATTTATTTTACACATGTAGAAAAGAGCTAAGATATCTTTGGATCAAGAATAAAGAGAAAGCTTTGAGGGAAGAGCTTTAAGTAGTGTACTCAAATGTTTTGGAGATTGTGAGGATGGCACAGGACAGGACAGGGTTCATAGGTTGTACTGTAAGTTGTATGCGACTCAACAGCATCTAACAATAATGATACACTGGCTGATCTTAGATTGAGCCTAAAACTCTAAGGGGAAACTTCTTCTTTGGCACAGTAGTAATGCACTGACTGACCAGACACTGAAAATACGTGAAGGAAGGTCTCAGTGTTGTGGAAGAGCTCAGATGACAAGATGCACCACTCATCACCGTTGCATAATCCCTCCTTAAAATCATCTCTTCTTCGTGTTCACACATGAATTACTAGACAACAGTGGCACTGAATCCGTTGCATCTACACATAATGTGGCGAGCCTTCATACACTCTGGTCAGCATTGGAGGTCACAACCAACAGAGTGCGTCCTGCACAATCCCATTAATACAGAAGCAGCAGAGGCTAGCTCTGGACAGTGGCAGTCCTGCAGAGCAGGAAGAAAGCTGGAAAAAAGAAATGTGCAGAGGTATGCTTGGTGGTTGCAAATGTATTTAGATCTTTGCAGCATCGTTGTCGGACTCATAGTTAACCCTTTGGTAGGTTTCCAGAGGCTGTAAATCACAGGGGATGAGATTACCCATAGTTCTCCCACATAGCAGTTGTTGGATTCAAACAGAGTGCTTTTGGGTTGGCAGCGTAACTTTTTACCACTAAGCCACCAGAGGTATACATCAATGTATTAAAGCTCATTAAGCTGTATACATAGGATGTGTGCATCTTTCTGTTACATATACTGCAGTTTAGGGGTGTTATCAAAATCAACCATCAAGTTTCTTTTTTTCATCTTTAGCAGTGTTGCAGAGATGATAGGGGACTGCAGAGAAGAATGAGACATTGTGACCTCGAGAATGTTCTAGAATTTTATTTTTGTCCCCTTGCATCCTCAGCCCTTGCCCTAGTCCTTTGATTTTGTCATTTGCTTCAAAGAATGTGCTGAGCCTACTTCAAACACATGTCTCTGCCCACTGCCAAACTGTGAGAGCACTTGGAAGTCACTGCAATAATACTTTGTAATCAAATCATTTCTTTGCACCAATAAAGCAGTCTGTTTAAAGGAAGCCAGGGTTGCCCGATTCTGCTTCTGAGCAAAGGTTTGTTTTGCAAAGTTAAAAAACTCTTCTGAATGTGTAGAATTAAATTTTTCTATCTCGTGTTCTCATCAAGACATGCTAATGGGTTTATTTCAAGAAAAAAGGCATCATCTGCAGTTATTTTACTGTTTTCATTGTTTGGTGGTGTTCTGGCAGAGAAGGTGCATGAAATATTTTTGTTTGTTTGTATTTTTAACATTCACTTTTCATCATACCCGTCAGGCTTTATTGGTTCTTTAAAGGGACCCTAGTTTGTGAACTAATTATGACAAATGTTGATACAACATCTTTTCCAGAGTTTAAATTAACCTTTTATTCTGCCAGAATTTGTCTTGAGGACAGATTTTCTGTAAGCTTTTCTGCAGCTTCCTGGAGACCAGAAACAGGGACTGCCGGGCACTCCAGTGACTCCATTCCCACCTGGGGAGGAGCTGCAGTTCCATCCATGCCTGGACTTGCATCTAACCTTCCTCATTCTGAATGAATTCCCTCTTCAGTGTCCAGAAGCAGACCATTGTGCAGTACATTTCACTAAGAACATTGACTGGTTGAGTATAACCCATGGTTCACTTCGCATGGGATTCACAGGCGTCTAACACATGATACTTTCTTTTGTTCTCTCCCTGAAAAGTCACCCACATTCCTCTCTGGTGCAGATAAGTAGGAAGATCAAGATCTGTATTTTTCACTGGTTAGTTTTGGCAGCCGTCATAATGTGAACTGATTTTAATCTCATCCTCCTTTCTTCAGATGACACCAAGTGCCCAATCCATCACCTTTGTTGTTTGAAGGGGCCATTGAATTCGCTCAGACTCTTGGCAACCCATGCAAAGCAGAATAGCTCGTGCAGGCCTGCGCCACCCCCACCACCATTGCCACATCAGAGCATGTTTTTGCAGCCATTATGTCAAAGTCAAAGATCTTCCCCTTTTTAATTGATACTCTGCTTTACCAAGCATGATATCCTTCTCTGGGAATGGTCCCTTCTGGTAGCAGGACCAGAGTACAGAGACAGAGCCTTCACTTCCAGCATTTCGGCATTCTGGTTTTATCTTTTTTGAGACAGATTTGTTTGTTCTTCTGGCAGTCCACAGCTTGGGTTCAGTCATCTTATGTGCACCCGAAAGCTAGGCAGTGAATAAAGAAAAATAAAAAAAGGATTTATGCCTTTGAATTATAGTGTTGACAAAGAGTATTAACTGTGCTGTGGACTGCCAGAAGACACCAATATGTAGAGTTCATGAAATCCTACTTCCTCCAAGCCAGGCTTTGTCAGTCTCAGCAGTATTGACATTTTAGGCTGGCGGATTCTTCATTGTGATGGGTTGTCCTGTGCGTTGTAGATGTTGGCCGCATCTCTGCTCTCCATCCACTCGCTGTACGTTGTGACCAGCACCAGCATCTCCAGACCTTGCCGCTGCCTTAGTAATATTTTGTGCTTCTTAGACACGTTGTCCTTCTTACTTTAGTTCCAGAATCATTTTATTTGAAGTTTGTTACAGGACTGTTTATATTTTTTAAACCAGCTGAGGTGTTTTAAAGATTTAGGCCCTGTTTTCTGTTGGAAGGGTTGCATGGGAATTGGCTTCGCATGTCTTCTTTCTTCTAACACGTCCTTCCAAGCACCAGGCGGTAGGCTCGATTTCATCTCCATCACCTTGGATCCTAGTTTCCCATAGGCTTTGCCTTTCCAGGTGCTGGTGGCATAATCTGTAGAGAGTTTCGCTGCTAACCCCAAGATGGTGCCTCTTTGGCAGTTCAAATCCACCAGCAGCTGTGTAGGAGAAAGATGGGAAGTCTCCTCCTGTACAGTTTAGAGCCTCAGAAACCCATTGTCAGGCCATCTGTGAGTTGGCTCCAACTTGACAATGAGTTTTTCAGTTGCTTCTTCAGAGACAGAAAAAGAGTGTGATGTTGTGACAGATACATGGGCAGTAGATGACAACCAGGGTTGAGAGCAATTAATGGTGGTTAGTAAGAGTTTCTTTTTATTCATGAGTATATAGTTTGCAACGTTATCTGAAATACTAATACTTGGAGCACACCCTTCTGTCCTTTGTATTTCTTTTCCTTTACTGTATGCGAAGAATTCCAAGGCAACCCTGTGGGTAAAGCAAGGGAGGAAAATGCAGTGTGAAAAACAATGTATTCAAACTTGGTAAGTAAACGAGTATAAACTTTAAAAAAGTGAAAGGAAAAATAAAATAAAAATGTAGCATATTTGACATTGTACAGATAGCTAACCTTCCCTTCCCCTTTTTTAATGAGTAAGTTGAGAGGAATGATTTTATAAACATGACATCTTCGTTGGTTGGGGAAAGCTGCCTGCACAGTTGGTTGTCTGCACAGCTACCTGAGGCCGTGTTCCGTGAATCAGCCTCAGAATCTCCCTTCTCTGTCCATAGACCTGACTGTGTTTTTGGATAGGAGTGATGAGATGCTGATGAGGAGATTCTCCCATGTGCCATTTTTAATGACACTGGTAGTTCTTTTGAAGGTGGATGCAAAGTGGTTTCTGAATATTTCTTCCTCTCTTCTTGACAATGGAGAGAGGAAGACATCCCCACAATGTCTTGACCATATTTTCATATTTTCTCTCCCTCAGAAATACCTCAGGGACTTTTTCAATGTGATGCTTCAGTCTGGAACATCTCCCCTCTACATCAACAAAGTAGGACAGACTCTGTCAAAACACACCATTTGTGAGTTCTCGCCGTTCTTCAAGAAAGGGGTCTTCGACTACAGCAGCCATGGGACAGGGTAGCAGTAGGGCCTGCGGGACCCCAGCACAGTGCCTTCTCATCTCACCATGTCATCAATGTCATCGACAGAAGCAGGCCTCTCTGCTGCAAGGCCTCGCAGGGATCCAGCCCTCCACCGGGAAACTGTTAAACTTGTCCTGGATTCGAGACCTGATGCCTGAGTTAGGGAGTGAGATGCCCCACCTACTGGTGGGGCTGAGAGAATCTTTTACCGCCCCACTGCAGTAGCATGGCCTTTCCCACAGGAACTGTCTTCTCTGTGCTGTGGAATCTACCCCCTGGGGGAAAATGATGTGGATTATCTCTGGGCTGCCCAAGCCAAATTAACATGGCTTGCCAGACACCCCTCAGAACTTTCATTGAGTTTCCTTTTACACCAAAATGCACTTTAATGTTCTTAATTGTTTTCCCTGTAGATGACTGTATCAAAGAAAAGCATTTCAAATTATTTAATTTCATTTTCTGAAAAAGGAATTTTTAATCCAGTCATGACTGGAGTCTTCCACACCTGACAATTTGGATGTAGGCAATGTGACTAAAAAACTTCCTTCCAAATGGATTATTTGTTTAGCCCTGAACCTTTGAGGACCTTCTGTCAAAGTAAACTGTTACTGTAGAGTCTCAAGCTTTCTCCACTGAACATAAAATGAGCACATCGCTAAATGCATATTTTTAAACATGATTTTGTTTGCACTTTTGTTACAGAATCTACTGGATATTGAACTGAAAAACTAGAACTTAAAGTAATTCATTAGTGATCTCTTAAATGACTCAGGAGTTAATGTAGCATTGCACAGCTATGTACAGTAAAAAAGCTTTGTGTTACTAAAGGGGGAAGAATGAATAGAAAACAACTACATATATGTTCAAATGTATGTAATTATATCTATAAATTTATATATATATGCTCTTCTGTACAATGGTTGTATCAAAATGTATAACCATTCACAACAAATTTATTAAAGGTATTTATTTGCTTTTTCAAAATTTAAATCGAGGTGCTATCAATGCTATGTTAAATTACAGACTCTACTCTGTAGCTCAGTTTATTGTAAGTTTGGGGTCTAGTCATTCTTACTGAACTTTTTAGAAGTTGATTTAATGTTGAAAAGCTACCTAGTTTGTAAGTTAGCCTGTTTTTGCAGTAGATGCAGTTCTAGTAATGATCGAAATCACAAGTGATTGGGTTATAAAAAATGCCTTCCTTCTGTCTTCTAGAAAATGGCTGTGGCTGGTTGACATAGCTCCCCAATCAGAATAATGTATTTCAGGATGGAGTTATCCTTCTAAGAGGAGAAAACCTAAACTCATTCCAGGGCATATACCATATATGAAAAATTTCAAAAGTTGGGGTTTGGGCTATGGGGCTTTTTCCTTTTCTTTACTGAAAAGAGACTTGCAGACCTTTGCTGCAGAAAGACCTGTTTGGGTCTGTAATTATGATTATAAGCAAGTTAGGAGCAATTCCTACTAGAGAAATAAAACCTAAAGATTAAAGGATAAAAAAATAGGGTAATAATAATTATGAAAGATCATATATTTAAAAAGAGTATAAACTCTAAAGATACCTCTAATTTGTTAAGTAAACCAAATGGTTTTCTTTAGATGACAGGTTTTATTTCCTGTCCTTTGGGACCTGTATCCAAGCCTGAGCTCATGTCTTGTTTGAGTCATACAGGATATGACAATAGTTTGTCAAGAAGAAATAGACACGTGTTTGTTCAAGAATGTAGAAATCTGAAGATTCTAGGGTTGCCATAAGAAAAATACCAGGCAGTGAGTGATTTTAAATAACAGAAATATATTGTCCCATGGTTCTGGGAGCTAGTAGTAGTCTGCACTCAAGGTCTGAGCAGGGCCATGTTCACCAAAGGGTACAAGGAAAAGCTCGTTCTTGACTCGAAGTTTCTGGTAGCCCAGGAATTCCTTAGCTTACAACTGCTGCAGAGTTTAGCGTTTCTATGGCCGCCTTCCTTTTGTCTGTTTTTCTTTTACAGCAGTTTGTGGATTTAAACAGCCAGAGAGACATGGCCTTTGGGTTAGTAACACAGCTGCCTGCAGACAGTGTCACCAGAGCTCCCCAGAATTTTTCCCTTCAGGATACCACTTAGATTTGTATTAAAACTCAGAAAACTCATTGCCATCAAGTTGGAACCAGTTCATAGCAGACGCAGACGCTTCAGCAGATTTCTAAGCTTGTAAATCACAGGAGAGGAGATTAACCTTTCTCCCTTAAAGCCACTGGTAAATTCAAACCTTCCGAGAGGTGCGGCCTTTGGATTAGAGTGCAGCTCACCGCGGCCTGTCCTCCTCCAGAGTTCCTTCGGATTGGATTAGGGCGTGCTTGCTCTCATCTGTAAGGGAGCTCTCGTCGCCTAGCTGCAAACCCGAAGGTACGCAGTTCGAGGCCACCACCTGCTCAGTGGGAGAAGGGTGAGCAATCTCCTCACTTGCAATCAACTGCCTCTGAAAACCTGCCAGAGGATCAGCTTTGGGTCATTTCTGACTCTGTGGTACACAACAACAACAACAATTCTGCTATAAGGAGAATTGGCCTAGTGGTAAGGAGCTGCACTGCAATCCCAAAGGTCTAGGGTTCAAATCCACGAGCTGCTCTGTAGGAGAAAGATGGGCAGTCTCCTCCCATACTATTAACTGCCTCTGAAAACCCACCAAGTATGGTCGGTTCCGACCCATCAGGACACAGCAACATCTCCGCTGTAGGGAGCTCTGGTGGCCTAGCAGTAAGAAGCTGCTCTGCAGTTACCTTAATAATAGCATCTCCAAGGACCCAGCTTCTGTAGGTCTTACTTCGAAGGCCATATTCACAGAGACTATTCTTTGAGACCTTTTGAGGGATCATAACTCATTAGGGGCCACAATTTAGGGGAGCCATAATTCAATCCACAACAATTCCAAGCCTCATCGGGTTTGAGTACTAGCTCGCTGTGGCTAAGACCACCTACAGCATAAAGAGCAATTTCTTCTTGGTCTCCTCACCTGAAAAAGAATGTAAGTGGTTACACTTCATAGGCTTCATGTGTCATTCTAGCCCATGTTTGTAGCAAAGGAATAAGCGATTTCAAAGCTCAAACTTGCTGTTGTCAAGTAGCATCCTCCATTGGATTTCCAAGGTTATAAATCCTAATGGGAGGAGACAACCCATTCTTCTCCCAAGGAGCAGCTGGTGGATTAGAACACTTGCCCTTTGAGTTAGCAACACAACTTACTGTGGACTACACCACAGAGCTTCATCTGAGTCAGTTATAGTCTGTGGTATATAAAGTAGGAATTCAACCTTTCAACTTGACATAAGGAGCATAATTTTGACAGAACCTGAGGTGATACTAAAAAAATGTCCTATAAGTAATAGAATTTCTGACCTCGAGGTGAAAAAGATGTCATGATGATAAAATAAGACAAGACTTTGTTAATTTGGACATATTCAAAGAAGTGAAGAAATATTAAAGGATGCATATTCTATTTTCAAGTGCATCAAGTCAACTTACATTTTTATAGTCATAAGGAAAAAATACAAGGAATTTACTTGAACTTCCTATTAAGTGGTTTTAGCACTCCTTTGTAGGTCTTGCTTAACCAATCAGTATGTTTACTAAACTTTCATGATCACAAGTATAAACAGGCTTTTCTAAATGGAAATCTGGCTCTTTCTAAATGGTGCCTTAGAAGTAAGGAACTGTGCTGCCAGCCTAAAGGTAGAGGGTTCCACCAGCTTCCCCACGGGAGAAACATCGGCAGTCTCCTCCCGGGCTCTTTGCTGCCTCTGAAAACCTGCTGGAGGGTCAGTTATGAGTTGGTTCCAACTCAATGATACTCAACAACAACAACTAAAATATTCAGATCCAACTCTCGTCTATATGGACATGTGAGTAGGAAGTAATCAAATTGTGCTGACTCTCTGGTAACTGACTGATGTCTAGAATGTTCTCTGTCCCATCATATGCAAGTGCTTTAAGATAAATTAATATCCAGGCCTTAGGCCCCTCCTGTTTATATTTTTAAGCAGAAAGAGCCAGTTCTGCCACTGCCCTTGCTGAGGAACTCAGAGGTCTGGGTGACTCATGATTCACAGCATGGGAAGGAGACTCCACAAGGGCACTCTTGACAGATATGGTATCTTGTTCAAAGACCTCGCCCTGTGGAACTATGCGGAGTCTCATTTTTTCCTCGGACACATTTCTGCCATCACGTGATGACACACAGACCTGCCTCACTTGTCTCCTCACACGTTCTCTCTCACGGTTGAGTTCTCTGGTTATGAATGGATTGTTCCTCATTTTCTGAGCCTTCCACCAGTCAAGATGGGTCCCCTAAAAAGAGGACACAGGAAACAATTCTGGCCTGACGTTGAAAGTAATATTCAGGTATGCCCAGCTTCATCAGTGTGAGAAAGTGGTTCTATAACACACGCCGAGCAAAGGCTCAAGCTGATGTCTTGAAGCGTCATAAGTTCAGAATTGGGAATTCCTGCCACAAGAGTCATTCTTCCCTAAGATTATTGTTTAAAATATCTCTTCTTTCTCCTCCTTCTGTAAGTTAATTTAGATAAAATACATTCATGGCAAAAGTAAAAACCAAACCAAAAAACTTTCAATTTTATTTAAATTGTTATGACAGAAAATTTATGTCTTCTTGTTGTTGTTATGTGCCATCGAGTCGCTTGCGACTCATAGCTCTAAACTCTGCTCTGTCCTGTGCCAATCTCATTGTCTCCGACACCCTCATCCCGATTGCCCCAGTCACCGAATCAATCCATCTCCCAGAGGGCCTTCCCCTCCTGCGCTGTCCCTCCACCCTCCCAAGCATGATGTCCTTCTCCAAGGATCGGTATCTCCTTACAACATGACCAGAGTATGTCAGATGAAGCCTCAGAACCCTTGCCTCCAAGGAGCAGCCCGGTTTAACCCTCTCCAGGATGAATTTGTTTGTTTTCTTAGCAGTCCATGACACCCTCAGCATTCTTCTCCAACACCAAAGTTCA